AATAGAGGAAATCTCTGTCTAAAACAGGAGGGGGCGAGGGCCGTGCTGCGTGGCGCCTGGGTGGGGCCCGCCTCGCCGCCTAATTGCTCCGTGGAAGGGCCGGGCCTCCCTCTGTGGGGAGAAGAAAGAGGCGGCGGGGAGCGTGGCTGAGTCAGGAAGGCTTTGGTCAGGTCTCTAAGCGGCGGAAGAGGGCGAGGAAGGCAGCAGGGAGAGAGCGAGGGAAGGAGGGAGAGAGCGAGGGAAGGAGGGAGGGCCGCGTTTGGGGCCTGCGCTTGAGTCCAGACCTTTGTAAATTTGTAGTTCGTGGAGGGCCTGTGAGGGCGCTGGGTGGTTCAGAAGCGCGCACACCCAAGGCCAGGACGCTTGCCTGCAAACGCTTCGGTATCTCACGTTTTAAGGCAACCTTGTTTGTCTCCCACCTTTTGAAGGCATTGTTGAGGCTTGAGGAGTGAGGCCAGGTCCCCACGAAAGCCTTAGGTTGGAGTCTGCGTTCAGGGGTCACTTTTTGGGGTTTTAGGAGAGTTGGTTTATCTCTCTCTCTTGGTTTCATGAGCCACAGGTAATTCTGAACTTCTCAATGATGTTTGTGGTTTATTTCACATTTTAGACCTAATCACTTAGGAGTCTCCCTTATGGGGAAATTTGGGAGGCTTCTTGGTTTTTATTGAACCAGAAGAGTTGGTTTGCATCTTTCTAGTTTCATAGACCACAGGTAATCTTGAACTTCTCAATGATTGTGGTTTATTTCATGGTTTAGACCTAATCGCTTTGGAGTCTGTCTCCCCTTAGGTTTCATAGAACACAGGTAATCTTGAACTTCTCAAGGATGTTTGTGGTTTATTTCACAGTTTAGACATAATCACTTTGGAGTCTCCCTTATGGGGAAATTTGGGAGACTTTGATTTTTATTGAACCAGAAGAGTTGGTTTGTATCTCCCTAGGTTTCATAGACCACCGGTAATCCTGAACTTTCAGTGATTGTGGTTTATTTCATGGTTTAGACCTAATTACTCTGGAGTCTCCCTTATAGGGAAATTTGGGAGACTTTTTGATTTTTATTGAACCAGAAGAGTTGCTTTGCATCTCCCTAGGTTTCATAGACCACAGATAATCCTGAACTTCTCAATGATTGTGGTTTATTTCACAGTTTAGAAATAATCGCTTTGAAGTCTGTCTCCCTTATGGGGAAATTTGGGAGACTTTTTGATTTTTATTGAACCAGAAGAGTTGGTTTGATCTCCCTAGGTTTCATAGACCACAGGTAATCCTGAACTTCTAGAGGAAGTCTACAGTTTATGTCGCGGTTTAGACATCATTCAGGGGAAGGCAGAGAGACTTCTTGATTTATTGTTTAGCTGGTTTATATCTTTTGATTATTAAAGCATAGGTAATCCTGAACTTCTAGAGGAAGTTCTGGTTCATTCAATAGAAGGAAGGAAAAGCTAATTGCTTTGGAAAAGGTGTCTCAGGATTGTATAGAAAAACTGGGAAAATCAGAGGGAGCACACATATCATTTTGATTTGTTGCCAATAATAATGTTGAAAATCATATTGTAGTGATGCAGTTCAAAGAGGTTTTGATGGAAGGGAATAAATCGAAGAAAGCCGCACAGACCAAGCAGGGAGAGCAGCCGCATCTCGCACGCAGAACTAGTTTGCTAAATAAATCAGCAACACAGAACAGAAAGAACCAAGTTACCACCTCAATGCAATGTCAGGAGAAAGACATAACCCCAGGGGGAAATGGTGTAAATTGCTTGCCAGAAGCAGGACAACAAAACCCAGCTGGCATGCAGAGGGTAGAGGGTTTGAAGAAAAAGCATAGAGGTTCCTTAATAAATCTGGGGGTTCAGGAGAAAGTTGAATATCTATCCAAAAAGAATGGGAACTCAGCTGTAGGGCTAGAATTTCAGAATGTGACAAGGGCCATGCAAAAAGCCAGCAACAGCTCTGATTTGAAATGGGGGCTTCTGAAGAAAACATGGAATTTAAGATCGAGGACTAAACTAATTCAGCCTGAGCACAAGACTTTTGAGAACCACGTTGAAGGACAAAGAGCAAAGAGAATATCCCGATCTATTTTTGAACATAGTGTGCAGAACATAAACCATCAGAAGTGTAGGGAAATAAAGAGTGGTCTTAGTTACTGTAAAGCACAGCTACATAGCCCCAAGAATCTTAGAGTGAAAGTGGAGGAAAGGAAGCCATCTTCTATCACACATCTTTCAAGTGGTAATCGTAAGAAAGAAAGAGAGCTTACAGAAAAGAGTTCCAGGTCGAGATTGGTTAAGTCAGAGAAACCAGAGATAAAAACAAAGAATTCTGTGGCAGTGACAACATCAAAAATGCAGGACGTAGCAGAAGCTCAAGAACAAAATCCCTGCTTCTTGACGTGTGCAAATTGTGAGGGCACTAAAAAGTTCCAAGGCACTACAGAAGAAGGAATCCAAATGCCAGTAACTCAAGCTTTTTTGAAATCAAATATGTGTAAAAATGATGGTAAGAAATGGAAGCCCAAAGCAATCCTTTACTGAGATTCCAGAGTGTAGACAGCAGGTCTTTAAAAAGAATGATTATTGAGCAAATGGTAGATTGTATATCTACAAATGATTTCTTTGATACTATAACAGTGGATAGTTGAAAGAAACAGGAAAATGGAAAATATGAAATTGTGACTTCAGATGAATTTTAAAAAATCAAAACATCTAGTAAAGAGGCTTATCCCCTCTTTTTCTATTTTTTTAGATGATTTTACTCTTGGGATTCTGTTTTTATCTTTCTTGCCTGTGAATCAAATTATCTTCCTGCTTTATCAGGCATAATACAAAAACTGAAACAAATTCTCGTATTTTAAAATATAAACTACATTAATAAGAACATATTTTACTTTTGTGACCTGGGATACTTAAAACATTATACTTTATATTTTGGGCTATTTTGCTATCCTGCTTAGAATTCTAACAGGTATAGTGGCACAAAAATGTCCCACAAATAGTGAAATGTGTGTGTTTCTCCAAAAGTAGGCCAAAGCCAGAAACCAAAGGTAAAGTGAGTTATATTAATATGCTTTCATAACCCCACACACTTACGGCATGTGGCATTTTTTCTTTCCCAATTTTGTTCTTTCCCAAATGTAAACTTTCTGTAACAAAAAGTGCATTTCAGAGAAAAAAGGGTCCAGTTCTAGTGCACAGAGGAGTAGACAAAGTCTTGGAACATCACAAAGTAAAGTTCTTGGAAGAGATTGAAATATCATGTTTTAAAAGTAATTTCTTCAACAGAATTGAAAACCATATGTTAGGAAACACTGCTTTTTATGTTTACCGTATTTTAAAGACATTACATTTGTCTGTTTAAATTTTGACTAGGAAAACAAACATCACACGGTGAGTTCTGAAAAGCTATGGAAAGAGCTTGATAGATTTCAATTTCAAATGTTTAGTTAGATATTTGCAATAAGATAGTGAGGAACGTATAATGCAAACCCTTCCAGTTAAAAGAAACTGGCGTGTTCAAAACTAGGAGGTATCACTGAAGGTGATATAGTCAAAACTGTTTTGGCTCATCTTGAGTATAATGTATCAATAAGCTAGCTACCAGTATTAAAAAACTAAAATCAGGACAGGAAAGAAAGAGCAACACTAAAAAAACAAAAAACTGGAATTCCAGACAGGAAACAATGAGGGCCAGCGAACACCCCCCAATAAATGATTCCCCCAGGCAGGAAGCAGCCAGCCTTTGAAGCTACAAGGCATTCAATGCTAATCAAGGTGGCCAATTGCAACATTCACACTTGTCTCAAACAGACAAGAGTTCTTTCTCCCACCCTGGACATTCCACCTCACTTGCCTAGTTCCATATATTAAAATTATCAGGCTAAAGAGCATCATTTAAAAAGCAAAAACAAATGTATAACATAGGGATAATCATATTGATGTATTAAGTAGCACCAACCATAGTGGATCAGAACTACCCTGCTGCATACACTCACATATAGGTTGATCTCATGTGTAAGTTGAAGATAGATTTTGGGGACACAATTGTGGATTTTGACATGACCTATGCATGTGTCAATGGTCATTTTGTAGAGAGGGGAAAGCACCAATGCCATCTCAAGAAACCAGCCTAGTGGATGCCATTTCTGCATGAATTCAAAAAGGTCAAAAGCACCACCATGGTGGAGAGAGTAGAAAGAATTGGTGCTTTAGGTTCTCCTAGTATAGACAAAGCTCTCACCTTTTGCCACTCAAAGGACATGATATAAAGAGTTGTGTAGGATGATTTTTTAACTTATACATGAGTATATAGCAGGCAAGGGCAAACTTTGGCCTTCTCCTACAATTCCTAACAGCTGGTAAGCTGGCTGGGATTTCAGAGAGTTGAAGTCTACATAACACCTGGAGGGCCAAAGTTTGTCCATGCCTGGTATATAGGATAGCTATTTCTGTTGTTCATATCATTTGCTCGGATTGCATTTGCTAGACTTAACTGTTTCTAGAGACAGTTTTATACAATAAGTGTAATTCTTATTTAAGAACTTTTATTTTAGGCTGCATTACGTTTTTAAGAATTAATAATGACTGCCTTTTCTTATCAGGAATACAGAGCTCTGTGGTTTCAAACAGACAGCATGGAAAGCTGGCAGAGATTGATAAAGATTGGAATGTCCAGAATCTGCTAGAACAGTCTACATGTCTTCCAGTACCTAAATCAGATAAGACGGAAAACAGTGATTGTGTTGACCCGTGTTTTGGAAGGAAGGTTGCAGTATATCGGGATGCTGCATCATCTGTTAAAGATGTTAAATGTCCACAGCTTTTGGATATAAAAGTAGTTGGGGGGAAAGTGGAAAATAACACATTGGCAGTGTGTCAAGATGCAAAACGTACGTGGCTTGCTAAGCATTGTGAATTGCCATGTAGTATAGAAAGGTTTCCAATTGTTAGATTGATAGACTGCTGTTACATTAAGGCATTGTTAAATCCTGCTGGTGTCAAGAGCATTCAAAGCTGTAAAGTTCATTTTGGATCCTTGAATGTTGCATCTAGTCAAGGAAAAGTTCTGCCTTCAAGTAGGGATATGGGACAGAATGATTCGAACAATAGTCCTAACTTATTGCAAACTGGAAGATTTCTGCCAGAAGAAGATATATTGGTAGGAAAAGAAATGTGTCAAAATAGTAACAACAGTTCATCAAGATGTCAAAATGGAAAACCCTTCAAGGAAGGGAAGCAGTGTGTAGATTTTGAACAGCCAAGCAAAAAGCTAAAAATACAAAGAGACTTAAAAAAATTAACCACCCAGAAAAATCTTACAAATGTGAACATGCATAGTGAATGTGGATTACAAATGGAGGATAAACTTGACACAAAAACACTTGTTGGGAAATTAAATTGTAATGAAGCAACTTGCTTATCTTCACTTGAACATAGAACTGATTTCCTTCTGGAACAGCCTCCTCAAACGCCTCGAAATCAACTTGTTAGTTTGTCTTCTAATAAAAAAGTGAGCAAAGCACATGCGGTCACCTGTGATTCCAGTGATACTGAGAAATCTCAGGTTCTCAGAAAACAACAGAAAGTTCCAGAAATAAAGGGCATGGAACCACAAATTAACATTGGAAAAAAAAAGAAGCATGACCCTTCCTCTGTGAACATGCTGGGCAGTGAAAAAAAGGTTAGCAGCAACAGCAGTATTGGTTGCAGTATGAAAGCAAAAAGGATATGCAAAGATAAAACAAGATGTAAAGCTAAGAAAAACTTGCAGGCATATAGTTGTCAAAGAGTTGTCCCAGTTTCTGGTAAAAATGTTTGGCCCCGTGAATCATGTGCCAGGACCTCTGTGTGGATTCCTAAAAATCATGTATGTGACTTGGAAATAACATTTTCAAGAAGTGCTGATTTATTAGTTCAGTCTGGGCAAGAGGAATTGCACGAGCCATTGATAGGTACTACCAAAACTTTGGCAGACCTGGTAATGGATCATAAAGCAGAACTACTTGTAGAAAGCTGTACTTCAGGACCTATATTTAATGTAGACAAGACTTTCTCAGCTATTGAGAATGAGAGTAGAATTTCCTCTGTGGATAGACCTAATCGGTGCCCACCTGAGGCAAAAACAAGAAAAAAACTGAAAGTGCCTTTGGGTGCTCTAGCTAAAGATGTTAAAAACAAAAGTATAGCTAAGAGAAGGATTTCCATAGGTGTACAGAATGGTGGATTTTCTAATGGAAAAAGCAAAACAAATGAGCAAAAGACATCAGTTACTAAACAAGAAATATCACTGCAAGCAATCCCAAGAAATTTATCAGACTTCAAAATTCCTTTACTCAAGAATAAAAATGAGTATGGAAAAACAGAATATTGTAGATCATCAGAAAGAAATACTTGTCATTTGGACATTTTAGAAGATGCTACTATTTCTAGGAACAAAACCGGAGCTGAACAGACTTCATCTGATAAAAGTTCTAAATTTCACATCCAGTCTGAGCAGATGAATGTTTCTATATCAAAGGAACATGCAAACCAATTTGACAGTGATTATCCTGAACACATTTATAAAGAGAGTAATGAGCACATGGAGACATCAAATGAGAGTAAGCTTAAAACATCAACTTCAGACAATAGTTTTGACCCTTTCAGTACTAACATTAAAGAAATGCAAATTCAAGAAGCTAAAGATGAGAATAATAGCAATAACTTGGTACAGGACAGAGACAGCTATGGAGAGATACTTCAGGCTTACAATGATGATGATGTTCTTGTGATTGATGTAATTCAGGATGATCCTGATCTATTTGGAGATACTGGTGAACAAGAAACTGCATGTACAAAGGATCATCATACTGAAACCACCTTTTACACCAGCGTTTTCTCAGAACAACAGCTCAAGTTAGAACCAGAATCCCCTCAACTTCTAGAATACAGGTACCTGAAAATAGATTCTAGATAGGCATCCTGTCTTAAAATACTTGTATAATGGGTATGTTTTGTCATGGTACTTAAGATTTTGACTACACTTAAATAAGTTTACTTCATGTGTTGTGTTGTACTGTTTTATTTATATCTTGTCTTTCCGCAAAAGCTGGAACACTACATGGATTATTTATGAGGAGTACTTAGAAGATGTGCAGTTTTGAACAATCAAGAAGTCTTTGTTTCACAAGTGTGTTCAGTTTAGAATTGAAGTAATAGCTTGGGATTTATGATTGTGCAGTCAGTGTAAATGTTTTCCAGTGAAGAGTATTCTAAATTTTATTCATCTTAAGCACTAGATACTAACTCAGTAATAAAACAGAAACTCAGCCTATCAGTGTAACCACTGACGAAGCAACATGAAGCTTGGAAGTGAAGCATTGGGTTGGGGGTGGGACAGGGAGATAAAAGCATATTGTAAGTCTGTGGAATATTAATATTGGTGAATTATTGTTTCCTAAAGTTCATAGAAGAACTTTAATTTAAACATATTTTTATATATGTGCAGCAAAGCTGTTTATTTTAACTGTTATTTACTTCTTCTAAAAATGATTGAACCAAGGAGCAAAATTACATAACATGTTGAGTAACCAGTATGGAATTCTGAAGTAGTCCAAAATTGTCCACATGGGTGACAGATAGTAATATATTTGCTTTCTGTTGATTAATAATAATAATAATAATAATAATAATAATAATAATAATAATAATGCTTTATTTATATCCTGCCCCCTCTCCCCAAAGGGACTCTGGTGGCTTACAATATGTGAGAAAACAATATGCATGACATCAGTCACACTTACAATCAGAAAATTAAATCAAATAGATCAAAGACAGATCTCAATATATAAAAAATAAAATCCAATAAACATAACTATTTACAACTTATAAACATCGGTCATATAAATATAAGACTTTAAACAATTTACAGATGTAGTGTCATTAAAAACATTACAGGTCCTATTCTTGATGGTAAAAACAGTAAATCACACTTTGGAATTATAATAATAAAGTTTTATTTATTACAATACCATCTTTTTATAGAGCTGGAACCATCTTTTTATAGCGTTGGAATGTACACTGAATGTTTCCAGTCTGTGGGCTATTGTTTTGTTTTCATAACAATAGCCCACGTATGCTAAAACCTGGATGCCAAAACCTGGATGGATTCTCTTGTTTATCTTGAACAGCTCCAGTGGTGTGCACCATTAGTTCCTGATTAGTTATATCTCCTAAGTACTTTGAAATTAGCTTCCACTTTATTTTCTGAAACCATAGGTTCTTTGTTAAAAGATTCTACTCTGAAATCTATTTCATGTATTCAATATCTATATTTCTCCTAATATAAGGTGACTTTCAGGGTAGGCAGAAACAAATACAACTAAGAAAATCTGTAGCACAAAAATTAGAAAAATATTATTATTATGTTTATTATTATGTTTATTATATTTATACCCCACTTTAGGGAAGTGTTAAATTAATTTAAAAACATTTTAAACATGTTTACATAATAAAGACAAAAGTAGGGCACGTCCCATTAAAACCTCTCTGACACAACAAAATAAATAAAAATTGAAGTCTTGTGTAAATGAAACCTTTTCTGAGTTTCCCCCCATTACCATTCTAGTCCCTACCCCATTAATTGCATTACTTTTAGCTCCAAGGGGAAGCAGGTATCATTGTCTCTTCCTTGAGCTCATTGTGCCTTTTTTTGTACCAAGTTCTCCCTAGTACATTTTCTGACCCTAATCTCAAAATAATGTATTGTTCTTCTCTGTGCCTCACATAAATAGGGTTTCATGCCTCGAGTGTAGACTCTTGTAGGAGTGTTCTAATTCTGAATATCTTAGCAGGAATTCCTCCCACCTACCCTGCCTGAATAGATCTTCCCTTCTTTTCACCCCCCCCCCCAGTCTCTACTTTGTTCCTTTTCTGTCACTATTTTTGAAATGTATTTTTCTTTACCTTGTGTAAAGAAAATGCATTTTAAAACATTGGCCTACCAAAGTTACCAACTTCATAGAAGGGATAACATTGGACTCTAGTACAGGGAGGACTTAGCTTCTGATGAGCAGAATGGAAACTCTCAGAAGCAAAGTGGATGTTCTGTTCTTTCCTACTCTTGCTATTCTTCCATCACCAGTCACACACTTTGTGCCTGTTACCACAGCTGTTACTTACCTTACCACATACTGTATAAGATTCTGTCCTCTTCAGAGCTAGTTTCTCAAATGTTTCAAACCCCTCTGAGACAATCAATCCAGGTGCCTTTGCAGGTGTGTCAGTGTCTTCCCTGGTGGATGAGATCTCACAGTCCTTTCTCTTTTATGTCATTTCATCTCTATGACTGGTCATGCATGATAACTACAGATGTTTCTCCGACATTGCAGTGATGTCACATATAAGGACATTGATTGCCTCAAGACTCCAAGGTTCAGTTAATTTCCTTGGAACTTCTTGCAGTCTTCAAAGCTTTTGGGCATATGAGTGGAAATTAAGGAACAGAATTGTACAAACAAGTATGGAGATACCCACTTGGTCTGGCCATAACTCTGGATCTGGTATGCCAAGAGAAAGTTTCATCCTGTGATGGTATATTGCAGTCATGGGTAAACTTGGGCCATCCGGGTGTTTTGGATTTGAGCTGAGGGGGAAAAGGAAAGGGTGTGAAGCTGTTAGGAATTGTGGGAGTTGAAGTTCAAAACACCTGGACGGTCCAAGTTTGTCCGTGCCTGGTATATTGGATGGTGTAATGGGTTCTCTACAAATAGTTTTTCCTACATTCTCCAACATGCCTATCACCTAGTGTCAGACATTTGAAGGAAACTCACGTGTCACTCTTTTTGAGTCTCTTGTCAATAAGAAGGGTCCCCGCTTCTGCTCCAGAGCATGGAAAAGACAAGGATCTCTCAGGGGTGCAGTTCTACTAAGACATTATAAATGCCTGATGTCCCATTACTAACAAAGATAGTAGCTAAATTCTCTAGAGGACAGATCAGTACACATCTGATTACACCGTACTGGGCCAGACAGTTGTAGTTCAGTTCTTTTCTCCATTTATCCAGGGGGCTGTTTCAGGTATGTTTCTTGAGTGGGCAAGTTCCCCATCCCAATCTCAAAAGGCTGCAGCTCTTAGAATAATGCCATAGTTTCACCTCAACTCTCAGTGGTCCTATCAGCAGCTAGCACATACTCTATCAACAGATCTTATTGATATAAATGGAGATGTTTGTGCTACTTTGCATCATTGAGATCTGAGCATTCTTCTGTGGTTGTAAATAATCTGCATTTCCTGGCTTTCTATTCTTTAAAGGTTTATCTGCCTGTAGTTTTGGATGAGCAGCTAGTCATTCAGTCATTGTCTTTTCAAATATTGTGTTTAAGATGTTTGGTTGCAGTTGTGGCTCAACCAGCCTCCTCAAATTTGGCCGCTCTCTTCTCAAATCCTGGAGTTAAGAAGTTTCTCAAGCTCTTAGTACACTTTTGTCTATCCGTTACTCCACAGAGCCCTCCTTGGTTATTGTCGCTAGTCATCTCATAGCTTATGTGCAAGTCCTTTGAGCCACTTACATCAGTTGGCAAGCAGTTTCTTACAATCAAGCTGGCATTCCTTGTGGCCATTACCTTTGCAAGACGAGCATGTAAGCACATGGCTCTTCGTTCTGATGAACTATTGCTTGCCTTTCATTGTGATAAAGTAGTCCCTTTCTTCCCGAGATGGTCTTGCATTTCATCCAAGTCAGAATGTTGCCTTTGCTACTATCTACAAATGTCTTACTCCTGGAAAGATCCTTCCTTTGTCTAGATGTGCACTGGCCAGCGTTTTGTCATTCCAACAGTCTGTTTTTTTTGTTACAGTGGATGTATGAATGAGCTAAGCAGCCTGTTCTGGTCAGCTTAATGGCAAACTCCAAGACAGTGGCTTCTTCAAAGACTCTTATTTTGTGATGTTCCTCTGCCCGAATTACATAAAGCAGTCACAAGGTTGCAGCCATCCATATTTTTCTGCTACTGTACCAAACTTCTTATTTAATCAAGTTTTAAGTACTTACGGTAAATGAATTTTAGCTGACTTATTACAGGAGTGTTAGGATAGGGATTGTGCCTTTGTATACTTGTCTTTTGTCTTACTGTTGATATGGTCAGAGGACTAATCAATAAACAAATCTGTTACTGTACATTGGATTATACAGCCAGGGAAGATGCCTGGTTTGGGTGTGCAGAGTTTTCTGGTGTTCTTCAGTGACCTAACCCATCAGTCTCTTGTATGTTTCATAAGTTATCCTTTTGTGTGAGGCACAGAGACCACAAAGAAGAAGAACAACATTTTGCTTTCCTGTAACACTGTTTTTGAGGGGATTTTTGGCATGGTTATCTGGATCCTTACACACACTGCCCTACATCTTCTCTCTCATTTTGTGAAAAAGGTTTCCAAATCTTTTAGCTTGAACTTTCTGGCAGCTGTCCTTTCTGTGCCATCGGCTTGAAAATGTGAAAGTATCCAAGCTGATTTACAGTTCTCAAAAGGCTACTATTTCAGATTCTGAGATACACAGTGGGCTCTTGATATCCACCAATGTTTGGTTACAGAACACTAAACACTCAAATCCCAGAAGCTCAAGTCCCATTGTGTACAGTGACATAGTAAAATGGTGTCCCTATATAAAATGGCAAAATCAATGTTTTCTTTGGGGATTTTTTTCTTTCTTTTAATACTTTCACACTTCTTATAGTGGAATCCATGGATTCTAAATCTGTGGACATAAATAAGAAATTGTACTTTATAAATAACAAACAATATAAATCAATTGTAAAACGGCTGAAGTACAAAGGCTAATTGTGCACCCTATTCCCTTAGCTAGGCACTTGATTTTTGAACTGTTATATTGTATTTTTAACTGTAAACTAATGTCCTAAAGAAGGAAAAATATGAAGACAGGTCAGAAGGAAAATTGCCCAAGATAGTTTTGGCACTTTACTTTTGAGGTAACTAATATGTTTCTGCTAACTTGTGTCTTTTTATTTTAGAAAACCTTTTTTTCACTTGAATGTAATAAAATCTGTTTCCTATAGAGAGAGTCCTGTTCGGGATTATGCAAGATTGGAGTCAGTTGCTGATTTTCTATCAGCAGAAGGTAGGAATAGGAACTGACGCGAGAAATCCAAACTTTTCATGTTTTACTTTTATGGCTATCTGTGTTTTGGTGACCTGATTGCCTATGTTTCCCAAACTCATATTTTGTAGAGTTTTGTGTGTGTTCAATGGTAGAGAAGAAGGAGGCAAATTGACTTGCTCAGCTATGACTAATGATATGCTTTTTTATGCTTTGTTTGGGTTAGGTTGTGAGAATTGGCTGATTATCCAGATTCTATTCAGGTTTTAGTTTGAATCCTTTTAAAATACCAGGGATTTGCAGCTGCTCTGGGGACACTAGCTTGTATTCCTTGGAAATATATAGACATGTATTTTCATGGGATGGTAAGATATTTCCCCTCATGAAAAACAAACAAAAATAACAAAGACTGATATTATGTTGTTTTTGTCGAGAGTTGCAGGCCAATGAAACAGGGATTAGTTAAGGTTTGGCAAAGAGAACCGTTATTCTCCGGTTCTAATTTGTGTGGCCCATTATAAAATAAGTTCCTTTTAACATATAATGTGAAAATTAAAATGTGCGAAACTGCAGTTATTGAGCACACAATTACTTGTGCAGAATTACCTTCTGTCAAGGAAGTGATTGCCCAGCATAGCAGTTTGAAATTTGACACCCAAGCTTCCTTGTTCAATACTGTCAATTTCTAAATGCAATGGTATACACAATTTTTCAGTTAAATATTCTATTCTTAATTCCACAATTATTCAGTTAAACATATTGCATTCTTTTTCTAGTTGTTGAAATTAAATCAGAGTCAGCAAGTGAAATCAGTTCCGAAGAAGGTGTAGCCATCCCAGCTTTTGGAGATATACAGCTGACTGTATTAGATGATGTTACAAGGAGTTGTATTACAGATGCAAAGGTACACAGTTGCAATAAAAGGTGGTATTACAGTATACAGAATGGAGGAGACCTTTCTCTTATATGCAATGTGTTTTACTACCTGAACAATCTTATGCATGTCTGTTTTGAAGTATTTCATATTAAGATCAGTTTCACTCAGTAAGTGTATGCAAGTTTGCAACCTGTAAACACTTGGCTGGGATTTAGAGAAAATCTGGCCGAATTTACTGGGGTTTACTTCTGTACAGAAGTGTTCTGTTACACAAGAATCCTATTGGTCTTGCTGGTGGCATGAGTGTACATCTGAAAGCACCAGCATGAAGAATTTAAAAAGGCTGTGGGTACACTAGTAATGAGGAAAGGGATTTAAAAAGAGGAACATTGAACAAAAGAGACTTATGGGCGGTGAAGGCCAACATATACTTCGTTATTTTGTGAGGAATTCTACACTGATGTGTTTGGCTTGGGCTGATGGAATGGGTAGTTAAATATTTCTAATTTATAAAGTCTGTATTGTTGAAACATGCCTGGGCTTTGCTTTCTTATTGGCTTCTTTATATCTGTGGTCATTAATCTTCTAGTGAAAAACCTTATGCACAGCTGCCCATGTTTCTTGTGCCTTCAATGGTACAAAACTGCATGAACTATGTGTGTCTTATACCTACATGAATTACTGATTATCAGTGAGAAAAGGGAAAAAAATGATGACGGTGGTGTTAGGAAAAGGCTACTGCTGCATCCTTCGGGTTCTTCAAATTCCTAGCTTTGTGATATAAGGAAAATTCCTTTGAGCCAAGGCATGCTGGGAGAGATGTCTTAACTAACTTTCCGTCTTGTGGTACAAACAGTTAATTATGCCATCCCTCCCGGAGTACTTGGCTTTCAAGAAATCCTGCTGAAAAATGGACATTTGGGCAATAAGCAGCACAAAGTTGGCAGACTTATGCTGATATTTTCTTCATTGGATTCCAGCCTTAGTAACATTGTTTATTAAATGTTAACATATACTTGGTGGCTAGCTATAACTTTTCAGAAGGTAATCTAGCAAAAAACAATCCGAATGTACTGATCTCTCAATTCAAAACACTGAAGCCTATCTATTGACTGAAATATTTATCAATCAAAATGTAAGCAGAGCAAAGAAACTACAACATGACAATATATATCTTCTTTCAAATACAGTCTAGTTAGATGACAAAATATATATCTACTCAATCCATGGAAGCTGTGGAATCTTGTTTTTGGTTCTTCATTAGGCTTAGAAGCAAGTACATTGTCAACATTCACACCCCTTCTTTCTGCATATTTATGAATAAGAGAGTTGCAAAATGAAAGTTTCAGCTTCAGTTCATTTTAACTGAGTTACGATTTTCATTTTATAGTACAAATTTCCAGAGAGAATGCTTGCTGTGAAAGAAGAAAAAGCAAACATTTGGAACATTGCTTTAACGTATGTATTCAAATAGTAATTTTTAAGGAATCCTCATTATATGAAGAAAGGGAAGGAAAATGTTTTCTGTAATCTAAACGTTTTGTTTACTCTGGTCTAAATATCATGGTTAGTCAGAAAGTAAAATCAAGGACCATCTTCAGATTCTTGTGACTGAGGTTCCTTCCAGAAGTGTGGCAAATCAACTAAATTTTTGTCACCTATCTAGTCTCTGGTTGATAAATGGCACCAAAAATACAAAACATTAATAGCCTGGGATGAATAATCCTTTAGACACATTGCTCCCAGGTTTTATATTATTTTAAAATTGAAAAGTAATATTTTGAATTTTCTCAGAAATTCGCTGGAAACTATGAAGCTATGTTTAAAAGTCCAATTAGCTCAGCATTTTAAGGTGCTAATTTTTAAACCAGTTGAAGTTGTTTTTATGATGTGATGGTTGTATGATTTAGATGGAATAAGAGTGTTGCTTGTTTCAGCTGTGACTGAAGAATTGCAGCTAGCATTACATGTCAGAGAGAGCGAATTTTCCCACTGAAATACATTGAAATGCTATTAATGCATTCCGCCCGCCAACCCCCCACTCCCAATTTTTTTGTTACATGTTTTTAAATAAGAAAATGTACTTTATAAATAACAAACAATATAAATCAATTGTAAAACGGCTGAAATACAAAGTTTTGGCAAAGAAGCACATTTGAGGCAACAAAATATGTGTTGGCCAGTGTAACAGCAAGGCAAAACCTGCACATTCACATGGAAAAAAGAGAGATCAACTTTAAAATGATAGAAGCACAAAGTTGTGGCAAGGAAGCACAAAGAGGTAGAAGCATCATTTTCTTCATACTGTACTCATTTCAGCCTCCATCCCTCTTTTGCTCCCTCTCCCTCTCTTCATGAAGCCAAACATACTAGGAATAAAACCCACACAAAATCAATTAACCCAAAGTTCCTCAAAATGCACAAGAATAAAGTAGATAGCAATCTCCCAAAGTGGACAAAAAAAGAAGACCACAATCTCTCATAGCGGACAAGAGCACGAGCCAAGGAGGCTGCTCCCTTGAAGCCCTAAAGTCCTGTACTGCTCCTATGTCAAAGCAAAACCAGGCTGAGTGATGGCTCTTAACTCAAAATGCTCTTAAGTTAAGACACTCTTAAGTCAAGGTTCCACTGTATTACTTAATCAGGTAAATGATCTATCAAAAGTCTCGATAACCTGGATTGTGCTTCAGAATGTTGACCCTTTTCTGGTTCCTTATGACCTCTACTTCATTTGTGTTCAATAAAAAGAAGAGACAGAAAAAGTGTCATCAGCACTCATAACACCAAATTCTTTGATGGCGTTTCTCACCTTTTCATCTGTTTCACTATGGAAAACATTAAGCTTTGTGGACCCCATAACACTTATACAATTTAACAAAGTGGACTGCTAACAAAATTATAAGGGAGCCACTGGAGTACCATTCTCCAATTTCCAAGTTAGTTGCTCCAGAAGGATATTGAAAGCCAGGTCATGTTCCCATTTGCCTACTGGTCATTCAGCAAACTGACGACTTCTGGGCATGAACAGAGTAAAAGCAAGAAGTTGAATACTTTTGCTGCTTTTCCTTGTGACAAATTTGAAACGTCAGTAATGGACATGTGCTATAGTAGACTGGCACATGTCCATTACTGGGCATATGCAACTTCCCTAATATGGATATATGATTTGAGAAAATCAATCATTATGCTCTGCTGACTAGAAACTGAAAAATTTTATTTGATGACACAATGTAGTTAATCTTTATAATCTCTCAAAGAAAATGCTGCATGCTCCATTGGGAAGCAGACATTCAAAACCAGGTTATGATTGCCATTTTGTATTTGTTACATCTGCCCCTGAAGATCCTCAAAGCCAATTGTTTTAATTTAATTTTAACACACAGTTCCCCCCCCCCCCCCATTGTCACCTAAGTTAGGAAATCAGCAAAACATCCAATTGATTTAACAGGCAACTAATTAAGCTAGCTTGCATGGGAGAAAATGTCAGTTTCTTGTCCACAGAAGCAGCCAGACAAGTGTTGCCTTGTGAAGACTTCCAACTCTTGAGCCCATTGACAAGATTCTTGGATTACTGGGCATAGCTCAATGATGCATTGCATTCTTCAACATTCTATAACTCTTAAAAACAGGAGTGGGAAAATCTACCTGAAAGACCATGTCATAGTAAATTATACCAAATAATGAAAGACAATATGAGGGGCTCCCTGTGTAATTCCATCCACTTCTCAAACAGTTTTTCATTTCCAGTTCACTTGTACTACATTATCTCTTACTACTGAGTGATAAAGGCTAAATGTGATTCCTCCAGATGTTGGAAAGGTCAGTACTTTCCAATTACAGAAAATATAATGTTTTTCATATTACGTTATCATTTTTGTCTGTGACTTTTTCTGTTGCATCATAAGTCACATGAGTGTCATTTCCTCCTGGGAGTTTAGTGCAAATACCCGGCATTATGAATCTGTGAGCCATGACCATCACCTGGAATTGCCACTCCCTGCTATGAAAGCAACTGATCCCCAGTGGCACAATGCAGCAGTGGAACCATGGATGAATGGTATTGTCTTAATACTTGAGATTTATCATTTTCCTTCAGTATGATTATTCCTGTACTAATATAAAAAGCTTGATTCAAGCATTGTCAGGAACATATTGGTATGTGTTATTTTGTGAATTCAATTGAAGTTTAAAAATGATATAGGACTTGCCTAAATGAAGGCAGTGAAACACATTACTTGAATAAATGCATTATGTGTGCATTTTGATAGCACATAAAGAATATCCTATATTTAGTGACAGATGTCCAAATAATGTGGCTGGTTTTGGGCATGGAATTCTGTTTTCTTCTTTTGAGTCACATCAGTGGATCATCTGTGCCTGCACAGTGTTACATTAGGTTTTACTGGTAGCCACACCTACCTCCAGTGCCATTATATAGCACTCTTTCATCCTAGATTATCATAGACTCTCAGTTCCTTTTCATTTACCACTGCAGCAGCATTATTAGGAATATCAGCTAGAGTTTCAGTTGCTTCTGCAGTATTGATTTTGGTTTGGATATTAGACTTCATTTCTGCTTTATCCTTTGAAATTGAGATGGAATTGCTGGCTAAACAGCACATACATAAGAAAAAGAAGCATACCGAGGAAAAAGATCAACAGAGAGATCACAGCTCAGGAGGTTCTAGTCAGATGACTGCTTCCCAAGTGATGTCAGATGTCCCCCTTTTATCCTGACAGGCTTATTTCTAATGTGTGCAAGTAGCATCTGTTTCTCAAGTACATTCCCCACAACAGTGCAAGGTGCTACATTTGGTAACTGAAAATGCTATGGTAATGTGTGACCTGGACAAACAAAGGGGCACAATATTCATTCCACTTCTCATACATACAAGCCCTTATGGGATTGATGCATCGACAGGAACATCTCCATCTTAGTCATCTACTTTCCCAGCGAGAAGAATTTGGCAAATCCTCTTGGATTCAAGCCACATGTGAGCACTCCATCCTGAGGTGCTGAAACCCCAGTGGGTGTATCTGTTCACATCCACAGAGAATATATATTCAGCTCCAGGACTCAGTGGGTGAAGTTGTGTGCCTTAGCTTCCCTTTTTTGTGTAAACTTTCCCTTTGTTTCTACTTGTCACTAGGATAATAGTGAAACGTCATTGAGATAGAACTAACTGTAACATGAAGGCTCAGGCAAGCCTGGTTCACTTCTTCATTTGTATCAGGGAGTACTACCTATGGCTGTTGAGCCATTCCTATATTTTGACTGTGAGAAGAAAAGGTCAGGCATCCAGACCTGGACTCCTTCAGTCTCATGGCATGGAAGGTAGCTCATTAGCTGGCTGCCTTGCCTGATGTCATTAGGGGAATTATCTCTATGGCACACAGACCATTGGAAAGACACTCTCTTGCATATAATTAGGAAAAGTTACTGCCATTGGTTGATTAGCATAGTTTTATTGAGTTGGTGTTTTATATGCGTATGTGTTTTACTCATTGTATTTTATACTGTGTTTATTTTATGTTCTGTTTTTAGGCACCTTGTGCCATGTGTAAGCCGTCCCAAGTTCCTTCAGGGAGATGGTGACAGTGTGGGGTTCCTGCTGGTGTACCGCCCACCCCGCGACCCAGCAGCCTCCCTGTCTGAGCTAGCGGAGGTGGTCTCCAATTCGGCCTTGGTTTCCCAGCGCTTTGTGGTGTTGGGAGATTTTAACATCCACGCTGAGACCACCCTATCTGGCGCAGCTCAGGACTTTATGGCCACCATGACGGCCATAGGACTGTCACAAATAATATCTGGTCCCACTCATCAAGCTGGACATACTCTTGACCTTGTTTTCGTGGTGGACAACGAAATGATTAGAGTGGAAGATCAAAACATCCTTCCGGTGTCATGGTCTGATCATTATCTGATCACTTTTAGACTTGCTGCGACTCTTAACCTCCGCAGGGGTGGAGGACAGATTAAAATGGTCCGCCCTAGGAGACTGATGGATCCGGACGGATTCCTGAGGAATCTTGGGGTTCTTCCTGCCTTGGAGCCTGGCGACTCTATCGACGCCTTGGTAACTCTCTATAATGGGGAGATGTCCAGGGCGCTAGATATGATCGCACCCGAACGCCCCATCTCGTTGCGTCGTGACAGGCCATCCCCCTGGTTCACCGGGGAGCTGACTGTGATGAAGCATACGAGAAGGGGGCTAGAGCGCAAATGGAGGAAATCTCGGGACGTCTCTGATCGAGCACGGGCTAAAGTCTCTCTTAAGACTTACTCCGTGGCTATACGGGCGGCCAGGAAATCATTCACGACCACCCGTATAGCGTCTGCAGCAAACAGATCATCGGAGCTGTTTCGGGTCGTGGGGGAACTCCTCCACCCACCTGTGGTGGAGGAGCTCACTGATGACCCAGCAGCTCGGTGTCGCGATTTCGCACACCATTTTGCAGATAAAGTCGCTCAGATACGTCTCGAGCTCGACTCCACTTCCATCGCAGTGCCAGAGGAGGTGACGGAGGCACCTGCTTGTCCATCTTTGTGGGATTCTTTTAGGCTTGTTCTTCCTGAAACTGTAGAGGAGGTTCTTGGGGCTGTGAGGGCGACCACCTCACCTCTAGACCCATGCCCATCTTGGCTCATTAAATCAGCCAGGGAGGGGTTGGTTGATTGGTTTGTGTTGATTATCAATGCATCGTTGGAGCAAGGGATTTTTCCATCTAACCTGAAACAGGCTGTGGTTCGTCCACTTCTCAAAAAAGCTTCCCTTGACTCCACGGTGCTGAGTAATTACAGGCCAATCTCCAACCTCCCTTTTCTGGGTAAGGTGCTGGAGCGGGTGGTCGCCTCCCAGCTCCAGAGCTTTTTAGACGATACCAACTACCTAGATCAGTCACAGTCTGGTTTCAGGCCTGGTCATGGCACTGAGACAGCCTTGGTCGCCTTGGTGGATGACCTCCGCAGAGAGCTGGACAGGGGGAGTGTGACTCTGCTGGTTCTCTTGGACATCTCAGCGGCTTTCGATACCATCGATCATGGTATCCTTCTGGGTTGTCTCTCTGGGATGGGCCTTGGGGGCACGGTTTTGTCGTGGCTCCGGTCCTTCCTGGAGGGACGCACCCAGATGGTGAAGCTGGGAGACGCCTGCTCGGACCCCTGGCCTTTGACCTGTGGGGTCCCGCAAGGCTCTATCTTGTCGCCCATGCTCTTCAACATCTACATGAAACCGCTGGGAGAGGTCATCCGGAGTTTTGGAGTTGGGTGCCATCTTTATGCGGATGATGCACAACTCTACTACTCCTTTCCACCTAACTCCAAGGAGGCTTCTCGGGTGCTGGACGAGTGCCTGGCCGCTGTGTCGATCTGGATGAGGAAGAACAAGCTGAAGATCAATCCCGACAAGACAGAGGTCCTCCTGGTCGATCGTAAACCGGATCGGGGTATAGGGTGGCAACCTGTGTTGGACGGGGTTACACTCCCCCTGAAGCCACAGGTCCGCAGTTTGGGTGTCCTCCTGGATTCTTCGCTTACACTTGAGGCTCAGGTGTCGGCGGTATCCGGGAGGGCCTTTGCACAACTGAGACTTGTGCGCCAGCTGCGACCGTACCTCGTGAAGGCAGATCTGGCCGGGGTGGTCCACGCCTTGGTCACCTCTAGAATGGATTACTGCAATGCGCTCTACGTGGGGCTGCCCTTGAAGACGGCTCGGAAACTTCAATTGGTCCAGCGGGCAGCAGCCAGGATGCTAACCGGGGCTCATTATCAAGAGAGGTCTACCCCTCTGTTTAAGGAGCTCCACTGGCTGCCATTTATTTTCCGAGCCCAATTCAAGGTGCAGGTGCTCACCTACAAAGCCCTGAACGGTTTGGGACCACCCTACCTGCGTGACCGCATCTCCATCTACGACCCCACACGCTCGCTCCGGTCATCTGGGGAGGCCCTGCTCGTGATTCCACCTACGTCGCAAGCGCGCTTGGTGGGGACACGGGACAGGGCTTTCTCTGTGGCGGCCCCCCGACTTTGGAATGCCCTTCCAAAAGAGCTCCGTCAGGCCCCTACTCTAGCAGTTTTCAAAAGGAACCTAAAAACTTGGCTGTTCCGATGTGCCTTCGCAGATTAGGAATCCCCATCCCAAGTCCTAGATGCACTTTAGCACAACTAATGTGGCTGCACACCGCACTTTAATCCTACGTTCCTCCTGCCATCTCAGCACTTTTAACCCTGTACCCCATTGCGCTGGCCGAACCAGTTTTAATAGTGTCTTGATGTATTGTCATTGTGGTTACTTTGCTTAATTGTTTTGATTTGCTTATTGTTGTGTTATGTTTTTTATTGTATTGTGTTTTGAGGCTTCGGCCCGTGTAAGCCGCATCGAGTCCTTCAGGAGATGCTAGCGGGGTACAAATAAAGTTAATAATAATAATAATAATGGTGGTGGGATATAAGAATAAAATTATTATAACATTATTATTAAAGTTCCAAGCATTTTTAGCTCCACTATACATCCTCTCTCAAGCACGTGTTCTTGCTTTTCCTGTCTGAGGGGCTTTTCTCTTTTGCCTGTTGTAGTCCAGCCTTTAATTGTGCCTATACCTGATCTCCCCGGGGGTTCTACAGCTGATCTCTCTGGGGATTCTGGGCCTGTTAGTCAGCCTAATGACTAACAGACTAACTTGAATCTGCAAGTCAGCAGGAGCAGCAGGAGAACCCACAAGAGATTTTAAGTCCTGAAAAAGAGCGATCTTTGTCTGAAGGCCACGTTCCAAAAAGGCAGTTTGATGAGCTGAGCTCACAGGATGAAAATGAAAGCCCAGGTGGACAGACTAATGAGCAGTTAGATAGGAGATTTACGTTCTGTCAACAGAGTTTCTCAGGAGAGAATTAGCCAGGAAGTCCTTATTAGTTTCCGAGGGGAGAAGGCATGATTTTCTATCTGTATTAGCTAGACCAGCAAACTGTTTTGCCAGTCGAGGCAATGTTGGTGTTTGAGTATAGAACTTTTGTCAAGTCAAGGGATTTCTAGTTTCCTGTCGTAGTCACTGTGAATCTGCACC